TAGAGGCAAAAAAGACAATGTACCAGAGTATAGTGGTACCAACACTCTTATATGGGCACGAGGCATTGGTTTTAAACATTGCAGTGAGGAGGCGGCTCAAGGCAGTGGAGATGTTGTCTGAGGGCAACAAGTTGTGTCAATATTATGCAAAGAACTTATAGTCTGGAGATTAGAAAAACATGCAGAGTTAATAAACGTATTATCCAGAGGACTGTAGAGGAATTATCTAGATGGTTTGGACATTCACAGCAGATGGAGGAAAATGGGACTACCTGGAGAATGAATAAAGCTGTAGTGGAAGTAGGGAGTGGCAGGGGTCATCCTAGGAAGGGTTGGGGGAGAGGAATAAAGAAGATTTTGTGCTAGAGGGGCTTGGATATCCAACAGACATATGCAAGCGTGTCAGATAGGAGTGAGTGGAGGCAACTGGTTTTTGTGATGAGGTGCTGTTTGAGAGTGAGCAAGGTAACATTTATGAAGGGATTCAGGGAAACCAGTTAGCTGGACTCGAGTCCTAAAGGAGGAAAGTACAGTGCTTGCACTCTGAAGGAGGGACAGGAATACTGCAGTCTGGAGGAACATCTAAGTTGTAATGTTGGCATGCCTCGGCAAAGACAGTGATAGAGGGATGGTGAAAGTCTTTCTTTTTCAGTTCCCCTTACCTCGGTGGGAGAGAGCCAGCGTGTTAAAAAATATACAAAAATATTACTATTATTATTATTAAAAGGCAAAATTAATAAGAATGAGTTTCTCAATCAATAAGCAGATTTTTCTTCTAATACACCATAAATGATAATGGTGCACCATACTTCACATTTAGCAATAAACACTTACAAACCATATACAACTGGATGGTTACAATCTCACTGTATCTGGTAAGTTGACAGTAAGTTGACTTTGAAATGGTAATGATACTTTCAATCATTAATCTGGAAGACAGTTCCACTCCTTTATTTCATCTGTTTGGAAACATATCTATCATCTGAGCTAACATTACTGGAATGCTTCCAAGCTATAATTTATATAGATACCTCAGGCTCTAAATTAACCATGAAGCTTTTTTAAACTTCAATTAGGCTTAAAACAATATGAACATCTGCACTTCTAAAAAATAACTAGTGAAGTTGCACTCCAGTGGCTCAATAGCAGAGCAACTGGCTTGCAAATAAAAGGACCCAAGTTTGAATCCTGGGCAAGGCAAGGTGTATGAGCAAGTCTCCTTACACCTGAACCTAGGAATTAGTCAACTGTTATAGGTAGCATTTTTGGAAGAGTGGACCTAGGAACCTCACTGGAAATAAGCCACACTCCTTGACTCTTTTAGGTTATCCTTGGCTATTAACCTTATGGGGTTAAAAATCCAAGGAAGCCTTCTATTATTTCATATCTACAGAATCTCAAAATGCCTTTACCAAGTCATGAGGCAGAACCTTGGCCTAAAATTATCTTTATTACTAACATCAGTAAGTCAAGGACTGCTCCACACACACACATTGCACCACTTCATACTGTACTAAGACTGACCTCTAAATACTGCTATAAAAACATTTTTTCCATCTTGGCCAGAACTACTGTAAGTGCAACAATATTTGACTATTAAAACGCTGGCAAAATACTTTGAACCTATACGAGAAGTTGAGATCTTTGCTAAATTATGCAATATTGAAAGTCAGACCCTTATAACTTAACTGTTCAATTATGACATGTTTTATGGACTCTTAAAACTCTACAATTGTCTACAAGTGTTGCCTCATCTAAATTAAAAGGCTTGGAAGCTCTGCCATAACAACTAAGTTGTGTTCAAGTCAACGCCTGTGATAATGTGACGACTATTGGCCATACATTTCACCCCCTTTTGTGGTAAGCTTGCAGCATAACAGTATATGGTGTGTAACTTCAAATCAAAGTACTATGTTCATGTTTTTACCACAACTTATTTAAGCAATAATGCACTATATAATTCATTGATAATTTTATTTGCATAAAGCCAAATGTATATAAAATATGATCTTCTCATAACAGAACTGGATAAAATGTTAACTAGAGTACTGCTAACTTCTACACACCATATTTTGTTGTGTTGTAAGATAAATATATAGGAATGTGAGGTATGAAATTATAGCAATAACTGTATACAAGTATATCTGGCATTCCTTCAATACAAGCCAGGAAGAACTAGGAATTACAATGGGATCATTCCTATACAAACTGCATTTCAAGATGTTGATTGCAGTGTATTTTTGCTCTCAAAAAGCTAGTACTATCTACAAACATCATGAGTCTTCAGATTTAATTTGATGTCCCTTAAACCTCAAAGGATTTAAATTCAATAATTTTTATCCTTTAATTTGCAATTAGTTACTACTGCATATACAACAGGGACTAAAACAAATTTGTTTTGTCTAGTTTGCACAATTAAAAAAACATTTACTGACACCAAAAACTCTTCAATATCAACAAACACCACAACTTTTAAGTGTGAATTTACTCTAGACAACAGTGACTAGGAAGAATCTTTATAACGAATGTCCAATATCTGATCAAGTTATTTTTATACATGCTTCCACCAATTTTATTATGAAATGTAGACTGAGCTCAGAAAATTTTTCATTACCATATTAATCAAATCTTGAGCATTTCAATTTACAATTATTATAATTGTGAACTAAAATGACACTTTTATGCTGTATCTCTAAAGGAGAAAAAGCTTGGAATGGAGCTTCTCAATATAAATAAATAAATAAGTATATGTACATATATTTTCTTTTTCAACGAACCTGCCGTATCTCACCAAGGCAGGGTGATCTTAAAAAAAAAAAAAAAATAAATAAATTTAGTAATTTATACAGGAGAAAGGGGTCACTAGCCCCTTGCCCATGTACAATATATGTATAGTGTGTGTGCTCACGTCCATGTTCAAACATACATATATGTGTACTCAATTGTGATTCCAGGGTTCAAGTCACAGCTCCTGGCCGTGTGTGTGCATGTGTACGTGTATGTATGTATGTACGTATGCATGTGGCACATATGCATGTATGTACATATGCATATATGTACATATGCATGTACATACGTATATTCGTATGTACGTATTTTTTTTTAACATGCCGGCCGTCTCCCACTGAGACAGGGTGACCCAAAAAAGAAAAAAAAAAACTTTCACCATCATTCAACATTTTCACCATCATTCACACATAATCGCGGTCTGTGCAGAGGCCCCCAAATATGACAGTTTAGATGTCACTCCAAACAGCCAATATCCCAAACCCTTCCTTTAAAGTACAGGCATTGTAATTCCCACCTCCAAAACTCAAGTCTGGCTAACCGGTTTCCTTGAATCCCTTCACAAAATATTACCCAGATTACACTCCAACAGCTCGTCAGGTCCCCGAAACAATTCATTTCCATTCACTCCTATCTAACATACTCACACATGCCTGCTGTATGTCCATGGCAAAGTCGAGAAGAATCCTTCCTCTGTAAGCCATGCATGTCATAAGAGGCAACTAAAATGCCAGGAGCAAGTTGCTAGTAACCCTTCTCCTGTATACAGTACTAAATTTAAAAAGAGAAACTATCATTTTTCTTTTTAGGTTGCCCTACCTCTGTGGGATATGGCCAGTTCGTTGAAAAAAAAAATAAACTCTTGATTTAATTGACCTTAACATAATAGACTTTGGAAACATGAAACAAAATCAACTAAGTCACTCGATTGAGAAACAACGGACAAAGTTTGCCGATTACAGAATTACTCGTTATTGCTACCATCAAGGCAAAATAATCTCTTCTTTATCCATCACAACTGTCATTACTAGCTACCAGCTCCTCCCTATTAATTCATTATATCAAGGGCATACAATAACAAGTTTTCTACAAACCAGATCTCTAGCTTCTAGGTTTATTATGAGCAACAAGAACTGTAAATATATTTTAATAAGCACAGAAGATCATCAAATAACACGTGAGTGAGCAGCACATTTTCAACACATCACTACCCCCATTTCGAGCAGCATGGGAGGATGCTTGTATAGCACACCAAAAATTTATAGGTAAATACAGTAACTAGAAGGCATTGCACAATGGCTAGTAAGCCATAATTCCAGTGTAATTACACATTCCTTTGCCTTTAACAATAAATTACCTACTCTAGGTGTATGTATACAATTGTTGTAAATGTTGGCAATTGCTAAGTGTGAAAAAATATTAAAGAAAAAAATAGCTGTGAAGGGATAATCCTGTGGTATAGTCATCAAAAACTTTTATTTGGAGTCACAATAGCATTCTCTGCATCGACCTGCACACCAATAAGAGCAGTGTTCCTGGTGTTTTTCTTCTACATCAGCAGTTAACACATGCAGTGCTTTCATATTCTTTGAGAAACTGCTGATACTGATGTATACTATTTATCACCACAGGAGTCATAGGTCTAACTAACAGATATAACCAAATCAGATATTTTCTGTAAAGCAGTCAATACATGCTGTGCTTTCATATTTATGCACCATCAATGCTAAAATGCAAGGATACTGGATGGACTCCACCAAAATCTGTACAGTATCCTCTGCATCCATCCACTTGCATAATCAGGGCTAAAATGAGAGAAAACTAGAGAAAATGTGAATACAGTACCTACTTTATATACAATATGCATGTTTTGTTCGTCTAACTTGTATTTTGTGAAAATAAACAAGTCAGATTCTCAATTCATATTTTGGACCTATCCATGAGAGACTTCCACCCGCACAGTATTTATATGCCCTCTGCTTCCCTAATTTTGCATTATGAGGGCTAAATTGAGGGGAAGCTGAATATAATGTGTATATAGTACCTACTGTACACACCGCATCAGTTTAGTTGATAAACATATTTTGTGAAAAATAAACAAGTGTGTATGTGTAAAGTGACCTTCCTCTGCAGGCAATGTTCATAAACTGCTCTTCTCTCCCTTCTCCCTCCCTACTCTTATTTCTAGCATTGATAAAATGAGAAAAATGATACTGTATTTTAATTTTTTATTTAAATAAAATTATTAACACGAATTAAATAGTTTATATTTACAAAAGCCTTGTGGTAGTCAATTTCATAACAGTGAGATGAACTCAACAGCCTGGACCATCACAGCCCTTAAACCCAATAACAACAGTGATAATAACTTGATACTTTTCTCGCTATTCTGGGATTTTTTTCATATTTTTTGGCAATGCTCGCACTTTGATACAGTATTTCCAGATCAACATGCAACAACTATGTATGGAATCTAAAACTATTATTTTTTGATGAATTACAAAAATTTTAACTTTATTTTTCCTAAATGTCACGAACGTTCACTCCATTTCTCTTGTATGATCTTCATTTTGCTTATTAACAAAGTTTTGGGTAACACACCTTTTTAAGGAACATTATTACCATGTTTTTTGACAGTATCTCTCAGAAAAAAAGTTAAAAAATATCCTTGTCACATACAAATGCTCAAGCTTTTGGTATATTAAATTTGAACATGAAGGACAAGAAATTGATCTTTGTGTTGGAAGCATGCTGGTGACAAATACAAAGATTCTACTCATTTATGGTATATCAAAACTATCACTGCAAGAAGGCAAAACATAACATTCTCAGCATCTGTTCAGGATTCCACTCTATAAAGAAACTATACAATAAAATTCTCTGATCTATTGGAAGGATATCAAATAAAATCTTAAGATTTTTCTTAACAGCTTTGAACTCTCAGACGTCTTAAAGATAAACCTATTTCCGCATTAAACTTTTGAAATACAATACCTGTATAGGTCTTTAAATATGTATTACTTTCAGTATTTATTCTACTGAAAGATCTTTCATTATGCATTTCACTAAAGGCTTAAGATAAGATTAAATATGAAACTGTAAATATTTTCACATTCAAATTAAAATAAATATATATATATCCAGTTTCCATAGCAATAAATAATTATTTATTATGTATAATGCATACTCTCTAGTTTCAAAACAAAATTCACAACCATAAATACTGCAATGCCTCAAAAATAATTGCAGCATATGCAAATGACATTGAAAATCCTAGTAGGCTTGATATAAATACCCTTAAGCTTTAGTGGGTGAGCTCAATAAGGGCTTGAGCACTCAGGTGGATTGAGGTAGCCAAAGACATTGAGCTCATACAGGCTGGCAAATACCATAAAAATGAGATACCAAAACATGAGCACCACTCCATATTTCTTGTCTAGCTTCCAGCCATTCATGTGAGTGGCAATGATCAAAAAAATCACCGTTGAGAAGAGCGAGATGGTCGAGTACGTCAGACCTGTAAAGATAAAAGGTATTCAGTGGAGTTGTGCATTTCAACTTATTTGTATTTTTGCCAGACAAAAGTAATCCTTTAACTAGAACCCAAATAATCCTTATTTTTTATCATACTGGCTATTTCCCATCAGGGCAGGGAGACCCAAATGAAAAATATATATCATAACAAACATGTTTAACCATCACAATTCACATGACATGAACCAAAACAGATAAATATAAATATAAAACAAAGCTACAACACCTGACTTCCTACAAATAAATACGACTCACCTCTCACCCTACATTAAGACTACAAATATTTTAAGGTAAGTAATGGGTGTACTGTGTATTTTACTTTTTATTGTGTATTTTAATGTCTAGTTCTATTACTGACTTCATGTAAGTTAGTGCAAACTTGTTTGGCATTTATAAGGGGAAAAAATGGCGTGTCGCTTCAAGGCGGTAGCCTGGAACCTAACCTGCCATATAAGTGGGGCCCTACTGTACACACCCATCTGGGTTTTCCTCTATTTCCGTACTAGTTCTTGTTTATTTCCTTTTATCTCCTTGGGGAAGTGGAACAGAATTCTTCCTCCGTATGCCATGCGTGTTGTAAGAGGCAACTAAAATGCCAGGAGCAGGGGGCAAGTAATCCCTTCTCCTGTATATATTACTAAATTTTAGAAAAGGAACTTTCGTTTTTCTTTTTGGGCCACTCTGACTCAGTGGGATACAGCTGGTTTGTTGAAAGAAGAAATCAATTACACATTCAATGTATTGGATCAGGCTCTGATCCACCAGGAGGCCTGGTCACAGACCGGGCCGCGGGGGCGTTGACCCCCGGAACTCTCTCCAGGTAAACTCCAGGTACTGTATGTACATATATACCAAGATATAAAATAATAGTTAGAAATGCCGTATATATATGTACAATTCACAATTTAGAATAGTATGTTCTCTACAGAATAACAATATGATAGTATAAGAGAGATACAAGTGCTTTACCTCTACTCTCAACCGGAACAATGGTACCAGGGTAGATGACAGCAGTTTTAAGGAACCAGGGAAAACCCAGACAAAGAAGGATGTCGAACACGTTGCTCCCAATGGCATTGCTGACTGCCATGTCTCCAAAACCTGCAGCAAGATATATCCAAATTATTTTTTTATGTATCTACCCTTGAGAGCCACTTAACCTGCCTCCATATATTCCTTGCATGTCATGAAGTGGTTATGGATTGATCTGATATGTAAGCCAGGCTATGACACATTATACTTCTATCTGGGATGTTGGAGGAATGAGCCTCCAGCATTACATTTCCTCCATGACTGCTATTCTGTTTGGCCACTTAAAGGTAGCCATTGCATGGCTACCTTTTGCCCAATACTACTAATACATCCAGAGGTCTGGAGTTTATTAAGTGCACACCATCTACCAAGAAATGGTGAATTCTCATGCTTTGCCACTTATCCTATGGCATAATTATGCATTCTTGATCTATTACCCTCTTATACTCCAGGTAGCTATTCACTTTATTTGGGTATATATCCAAATGGATACTTACCCTGCTTGGCAACACAGAGAGATGAAAGAGCATCAGGAGCAGACACACCAACAGCAATGAGTGTTAGACCCATGACGGTGTCAGGGATGCCCAAAGTGAAACCTGGAAAAATTTCAGTTAATTTCAAAGTTAACCTAAATTTACTACTGTACTGTGCTATCTATAATATGCAATCCTGAAAATTACAACTTAAGTCAATTTTTATCTGCCTTATATAATTAAAAATTAAAAAAAAAAATGCTTGTGCAAATCTTGGTCAAAATATTGAGATTAATATCTTTGTGATACGTTATTAAGAATATGGCCAACCATACAAAGTACATACTGTAATGAACCAACATTATTATTATACCCATATTAAACATTAAACCAATGCTGCACTGAACCAACAACCATTACTAGCCACATAATGTACCATGATACCACATAATGCCATTGCTAATCTAAATACTACAGCCTCTCCTCACTTAGCGACGTACTTGTTCACTGACGCCACGGACTTACAACGGGCTCTCTGACCAGTATTTATACCTAAATAATGTATATTAGAGCTGATTTCCTCAATTCTGTTTATTACAATATACAGTACACTGTTGTATAAACATTTAAAAATATACCAGAAATGTTATAAATGGTGCAAAGGTGATATTAAAACAACATCAAAGATAGTTGTCACAAATCCACTACCATTGTAGTATGCTCCTCATTTAGCGACGAATTCGTTTAGCAGTGAATTCTTTTACTTCAACATTAGCCTTGGCATAGCAGATGACCAACCAGTAACTGATTTCACTAGTCATACTAGCCATAACCAAACCAACAAGGCTGAAACAAGTGCAACCATAATTGACCACATACAGACAAATATACTAGCTCCCCTCAAATCTGGGATAATCACAGACAACACTACTAACCACTATCCCACTTTCCACCTAACATTTCTAAGCAACCAATGGAATATAGCAAGATCTCTTTTCGGCTCCATGATGAAGCATCAATTAATAACTTCATTGAAGAGCTAAGCTCAGCTGACTGGCCTACAGAATTCTCTAATGCCAATGGTACTGATAAATGGATAGACATTTCTAAACAAAATACAGACTGCACAACACTGTCCCATAAAAAATAAACAGATAACCAATAAATGGCTAAGTTGCCTGTGGCTTACTAACAGCATTCTAAGATCCATTGATGGGAAATATCAATATGAAAAACACTATAGATGGGGCTAAATAACTAAAGAACTTAGAACAGTCCTCACCAAACTTATAAGAAAGTCCAAGCAATTGTACTATTCTAATAGATTCACTGAAACAAGAGGAGATATAAAAAACCTGGAAGACACTCTCAGATCCTGGTCACCCAAAAGCTGAACAAAACTAGAGATATTGTCCTAACATCCCAAACTTCTCAAACACAGGATCAAATCTAGAAAATACCAATACCTAAGTGAGTGATTTCTTAGAAGGTAACTTCCCACCATCCCTCTATCTTGCTCCAACTGAGCCCAATGAAGTCACCCTGATTATTAATTCACCAAGAAATAAATCAGGAAATCTAGCTCACGTCCCACCACTATCGTACAAATGAGTGACTCAAGTCCTTGCACCCACCATTAACTTACTTTTTAACAAATCACTAGAAACCAGCACTTTACCAACATTACTTAAAATAGCAAGAGGTAGTACAATACACAAAGGTGGAGACCCAACAGATGTAAACAACGTGCATTGGCTAATATTAAACTTGCCTTTGCTATCCAAAATCTTTGAGAAACTCATACACAAGATATATACTCCTTTATAACATCACAAAGGATTCTCAACCCCTGCCAGTTTGGCTTCAGGAGAAACAAAAGCACCTACTTTACACAGCATCTGAAAAAATTAATATCCACTAGGGCTCTTTATCGACCTAAGGAAAGCTTTTGATACAGCAGACCACAGTATCCTACTTCACAAACTTGATCATTATGGTATCAGAGGCCATGCATCTGCATACATAGTCTTACCTTACTAACAGACAGCAGTACATCTCTATTAAGGACACACCCTCTTCATCAAGACCCCTCGACACTGGCGTTCCACAAGGAAGCATCTTTGGCTCCCTACCTGTCCGTTTATACATCAATGATCTTCCAAATGTATCGCAAGAACTTAGACCTATTCTCTTTGTTGACAACACAACTTTGGTCATCTCCCACCCAAACCCAGCATCACTCAACAACATTGTTAATGAAGAGCTCTTAAAAATATCAACCTGAATGGCTACCAATAAACTTAGATTTAACACTGACAAAACCTTCTACATTATGTTTGGGAGCAAAGCAAGTAACAGCCAACCAAACATTATGATTAATAATACTCTATTGCTAAACATGAGGGAAAATTTATGAGTCTGCACCTTGATAGCAACTTGAAATTCAACACCCATAACCAACACAGAACAAAAAGTGTCCAAAACCATTGGCATCCTCTCTAAGATAAGTTATTATGTACCACAAACAGCACTACTTACATTGTACTATGCAGTGATCTACCCCTACCTCACCTACGCTATTTGTGCCTGAGGATCCACAACAGCAAATCATCTTAAGCCAATAACGACTCAACAAAAGGCCACAGTACGAATGATTATACAGTCCACTACCAGACAACACCCCCTTCCCCCACTCTTCAAAGACCTAAATCTACTCACTATACAAAACATTCACTCTTATTACTTTGCATCCTACACTTACAGAACATTAAATTCTAATATTAATCCTGACCTGAAGCACTTTCTTGATAGTGGCAACAGGACCCATAGACATAATCCTATGCACAAAAATCTCTATGGCATATCCATGTCTGGTGTCAGAGGCCCTAAGGCCCTGTGTCAAAGGCCCTAAAATCTGGAAAACACTACCTGAAAACTCTAGAACAGCAGACACATTCATCACCTTCAAAACTACTGTTAGACAACATCTTATCTCCCTGATACACCCCATCAACTAACTACATAAAAACCACCTGGTGGTCCACATTTACACTCACTCACTCACTCACTCACTCACTCACTCACCCATTTGACTATAAGCACAGAAATACATATCCTAATCTTAAAATAATGATTCCAAGCTAGTCATAAGTTTGCCTGTGATACTCCAATATAGAAACTATGTATTGTGCCAAAACAAAAGCATTCACATTGCTAAACTCACAAATTAGTATCTGTCACTTAGTATTTAGTCACTTAGTATTTAGTCAGCTTACTCCACAATTTGTTATAATTTAGGGTTAAGAATTAATCTAAGTTTGCCCGAAATGCCTAGCCATGCTAGGTGTTCTAGTGGCCCCCTCTGTAATTATTATTTTACTACATGTAAACCACACAATAACCAAAATCTGTAAACCCTGCATTGTAATCCTTATAGAGAATAAACTTAGATTTGATTTGATTTGGTGAAATGTCTGTAAAAATTCATTGTATATAAAAGGGCCCAAAATCAGGAAAACTCTGCTGGAAATCTCCAAAGCCACTGTCTTAGTCAGCATCTTCAAAACTACCATTAAAAAAACACCTTCCCTCCCTAACATACCCCAACATCAGCTAAATATGTGAAAACTATATATTCTTCACAATCATTAAAACACTGAATGTGATCACATTATGTCAATACAGCCTCTCCTCACTTAATGACGGAGTTCCACTCCTGAGACCACATCATTAAACGAATTCATCACTCAGTGAGGAGCATAATATAATGGTAGTAAGTTTGTGTCAACCATCTTTGATATTGTTTTAATGTCACCACTGCATCATTTATAACATTTCTGGTGTATATTTTTAAATGTTTATTCAGTAGTGTACTGTATAGTGAAATAAACAGAATACATAGAGGAAACCAGCTCTAATATACATTATTTAGGTATGAATGCTGGACAGAGAGCCCGTAGCAAGTCTGAGGCATTGGTAAATGAGTACGTCGCTAAGTGAGGAGAGGCTGTATATTATGTCTAGTTTTAAGTAGTGAGTAAACATTATTATCAGTCTGCCCAAAATACTCAGGCATGTTAGTGGCTTTCTCTGTACTTAACATTTTGTAAAATGTAAATCGCACATTATAACATTTCCAAAGAAATAAAACTGTATTGTATTGTACTGTACTGTGTAACGTATACACATAACATACCAATGATTGTTATCATCCAGACCATGACATATGAATAGGCAGCAATCCAGATCATGCTCATGATAAATGTGATGAGGTGCCAGCGACGGAAACGCTCCCTGCGGCAGTCTGGGGTAGTGAAGTGATGGAGGGCAACAAGAGGCAGTGACAGAGCCCAATTAATTCGCTCGCATATACCCACTGGTACTGTCCAGGGTGATACATCGTCATCCTGGAAAGGCAGAGGTTAAAAAAACAATTAAAGTTTACAAAATAAGAGTTAAAAATTTAAATTTTTACAATTTAGTTTTGAAAGAAAAACTTTATTAAAACTGTAATCCATCATTGCATAGAAGAATAAACCATCAAAGATTAACCTACAGGAGGGCACCACTTATATAGCAGGATAGGTTCCAGGCTATTGCTGTAAAGCAAATCACCCTTTTATCACTTAAATGCGCATAAATGCCTGATAACAAGTTTACACTATCATATATAGTAGAACCCCCGTATCCACTAATTCACTATCATGGTTTCAGTTATCCACAGTTTACTGTGGGCCAAAAATACTTCTTAATTTTGCATAATATTGGCCCCAAAGCACAAAGTAGAGAAGCTGGCAGCTCTTGAAAGCCTACGAGAAGCCATGAAGTGCTTCCCATCAGTGAAAAAAGTGATAATTCTGCACTTATTGTGCATAATTTATTAATTAAACTTTGTAATAGGTATGTATAGGACTTATATACAGTGGTACCTTGGGATACAAATTTATTTCGTTTCAGAAGGCTGTTCAAGTGCCGATACCGAATGAATATGTTCCCATAAGGAATAATGTAAATTAGATTAATCCATTTCAGACCCTCAAAAATACACTTACAAAAGCACTTCCATAAATACACTTACATAACTGTTCGAATTTTGGGCTGTTCATATCCCGAGGTACCACTGTATAGGGGTAGCTACTATTAAGTCTGCCCGAAATGCCTCAGCATGATAGTGGCTTTCTTTGTTCCAATCAAATTATGAAATGTAAACACATGTAACCTTAGGAAAGAAATAAAATTTAATTATTATTACTATTTATTTATTTATCCACAGTTTCAGTATCCATGGCAGGTCCCTGGAATGTATCCCCGGAGGATATGGGGTCCTACTGTATTATCAATAGAATTAGACATAAAAAAAACAATAAAAAAAGTAAAATGCACATACAGTACACTCATTACTTATCTTAAAATATTTGTAGTCTTAATGTAGGGTGAGAGGCAAGTAGTGGTAGCCTGCAGGCTACCACAACTCACAATTATGTTTATAAATAGCCACAATTTAAACCTAGAAGATGATTGATCACATTGACCCTGATCTAAACCTCCATAATCTAACACCCAATCAAAACCTACTGGAAAGTAACTGCCTTTATTACACAGCATCACAAGCCAGCACTATCCTAAGCAGTGCTAAAAGTCTATCAGTTCTTAACTACAACATCAGGTCCTTAAGCAAACACTATGATGACCTCCTGGCACTCCTTGAGTCGCTAAAGACACCTTTCTCCTGCATTATTCTTACTGAGACTTGGCTTAAGCAGGACACAACAGATATCTACCCTCTACCAGGATACACAGCAATCCACAACTGCAGACCATACCAAGTTGGGGGTGGTATTGCAATCTATTTCTCTAACCAACTATCTTGTATTAGCACCACTTGCTTTAGTGATGAATATGGGGAATACATTTTTGCTAATTTTACTATAAAAAAACCTTAAGACGCCTATAACAATCGGTGCCATTTACCGGATATCCCACACAAACATCCCAAATTTCAGTGAGAAATTAAAGGCACTAATAACTAACCGACAAATGAACAAGCACCACCTTCTCTTAGCTGGAGACTTCAATATCAACCTTGGCCTACTAGATGATCAGCCTGTAACTGATTTCATCAATAATATGAACAACACACTTCTCATATCAACAATAACTAAACCAACCAGGCTCACAGAGACAAGTGCAACCATAATAGACCACATATGGACCAATATACTAGCCCCCCTTAAGAGGGCTATCTGAACAGTGATGTCAGTATGCTTCTGGCAAGATAGCAATTGAACAAGTTACAGTGAATGTGCTTTTTATTTGGGGGGGGGGGGAGTCCCCCTACCTCAATGGCAGATGGCCAGTGTAATAAAAATTACATGAATAACAAAAATAGTAACAAATGTAAATAAAAATAATGAGAAAAATTACAAGATGACTGTTTATATGAGAATATTGTAACCTGCTCATCTTTTTCCCCTTTTATCTAATCTCAACTGATTCTCACTTATTTCACTAAACCAAATTATTTTTGTTTTCCTCCTTTATCTCCACCACTTGATGATTTCTCCAATTCCTGCAACCATTCATTCTCTTTCAGTAAAATACATAGTCTAACCTTCATCTCAGGAGCCATGGACCTGGTAGGAGCCGCTTCTACCTCTGCTGGTTCTACTTGCTTGGGCATCCCCTCACCATCTGGGGATAATAGTAAATATTATATTAGATTTTCATGTGCATACATAGTGTGTGTGCGTGTGCATGAATGTGAGCAAAAGAGAGAGAGAGAGAGAGAGAGAGAGAGAGAGAGAGACAGAGAGAGAGAGACAGAGAGAGAGACAGAGAGAGAGAGACAGAGAGAGAGAGACAGAGAGAGAGAGACAGAGACAGAGAGAGAGAGAGAGAGACAGAGAGAGAGACAGAGAGAGACAGAGAGAGACAGAGAGAGACAGAGAGAGAGAGAGAGAGAGAGAGAGAGAGACAGAGAGAGACAGAGAGAGAGAGAGAGACAGAGAGAGAGAGAGAGAGAGACAGAGAGAGAGAGAGAGACAGAGAGACAGAGAGAGAGAGACAGAGACAGAGAGAGAGAGAGACAGACAGAGACAGAGAGAGAGAGAGAGAGAGAGAGAGGACAGAGAGAGAGAGACAGAGAGAGACAGAGAGAGAGACAGAGAGAGAGACAGAGAGAGAGAGAGACAGAGAGACAGAGAGAGACAGAGACAGAGAGACAGACAGAGAGACAGACAGACAGAGAGACAGAGAGAAGAGACAGAGAGAGACAGACACAGAGAGAGAGAGACAGAGACAGACACAGAGAGACAGAGACAGACAGAGAGAGAGAGAGACAGAGACAGACACAGAGAGAGAGAGACAGAGACAGACAGAGACTGAGAACAGCATGAAGCAAGCTTCTATACTGAGATCATTTATCCCCAGGATGACTCAAGTATGGAACACATTCAATTCAAGTTTATTCTCTATAAGAGTTACAATGTGGGGTTTACAGGTTATGGGTATTGTGTGGTTTACATGTTATAAAATACTAATTACAGAGGGGGCCACTAGAACGCCTAGCATGGCTAGGCATTTCGAGCAGACATAGATTAATTCACGATGTCAACGAGGTAAAGTCAGCTGATCAAATGAAAATGTGGGCCCACAGATGGCTCCAACTTCATCCTGTTCCCTACTTGTATGTATCGTAACAATAAAAATGCTTTCAAATGAGCTGATGTAGGTAACAGCTCTTAGCTTGTCAATCAAGTTAGGAATCCTTAACCTGTAAATAGCTTGTCAATAAAGCTAGGGATCCTTAACCTTGTCAAACCCTGTGTAAAAAAAAAGAGAAAAACAGAGAAAGTGAAAGAGAAAAAGAAAGAGAAAAAAAAAGAGAGAGCAAAATAACATTTATGAAGGGATTCAGGGAAACCAGTTAGCCAGACTTGAGTCCTGGAGGTAGAGAGTACAGTGCCTGAACTCTGAAAGAGGGAAGGAAATATTTGTAGCTTTGAACTGTAGTATCACCACCCCTCTGGCAAGAAAGTGATGGAGTGATGGTGTAAGTGCTTCTTCTTTTTTTAAATAAATAAATAAATTATAATATAATATAATTATAATATAATATAATGCAGCAGCGAGGAGACGGTTGGAGGCAGTGGAGATGTCCTGTTTAAGGGCAATGTGTGGTGTAAATATTATGCAGAAAATTCGGAGTGTGGAAATTAGGAGAAGGTGTGGAGTTAATAAAAGTATTAGTCAGAGGGCAGAAGAGGGGTTGTTGAGGTGGTTTGGTCATTTAGAGAGAATGGATCAAAGTAGAATGACATGGAAAGCATATAAATCTATAGGGGAAGGAAGGCGGGGTAGGGGTCGTCCTCGAAAGGGTTGGAGAGAGGGGGTAAAGGAGGTTTTGTGGGTAAGGGGCTTGGACTTCCAGCAAGCGTGCGTGAGCGTGTTAGATAGGAGTGAATGGAGACGAATGGTACTTGGGACCTGACGATCTGTTGGAGTGTGAGCAGGGTAATATTTAGTGAAGGGATTCAGGGAAACCGGTTATTTTCATATAGTCGGACTTGAGTCCTGGAAATGGGAAGTACAATGCCTGCACTTTAAAGGAGGGGTTTGGGATATTGGCAGTTTGGAGGGATATGTTGTGTATCTTTATATGTGTATGCTTCTAGACTGTTGTATCTGAGCACCTCTGCAAAAACAGTGAAATGTGCGAGTGTGGTGAAAGTGTTGAATGATGATGAAAGTATTTTCTTTTTGGGGATTTTCTTTCTTTTTTGGGTCACCCTGCCTCGGTGGGAGACGGCCGACTTGTTGAAAAAAAAAAAAAAAAAAAATATATATATATATATATATATATATATATATAAATATATATATATATATATATATATATATATATAAATATATATATATATATATATATATATATATATATATATATATATATATATATATATATATATATATATATATATATATATAATTTTTTTTAACAAGTTAGCCATCTCCCACCAAAGCAGGGTGACCCAAAAAGAAAGAAAATCCCCAAAAAGAAAATACTTTCATCATCATTCAACACTTTCACCTCACTCACACATTATCACTGTTTTTGCAGAGGTGCTCAGAACACAACAGTTTAGAAGCATATACATATAAAGATACACAACATATCCCTCCGAACTGCCAATATCCCAAACCCCTCCTTTAAAGTGCAGGCATTGTACTTCCCATTTCCAGTACTCAAGTCCAGCTATATAAAAATAACCGGTTTCCCTGAATCCCTTCACTAAATATTATCCTGCTCACACTCCAACAGCTCGTCAGGTTCCAAATACCATTCGTCTCCATTCGCTCCTATCTGACATGCTCACGCATGCTTGCTGGATGTCAAAGCCCCTTGCCCACAAAACCTCCTTTACCCCCTCTCTCCAACCTTGTCGAGGACGACCCCTTTCCCATTTCCCGCTGAGGCAGGATGACCCACTTTCCCATTTCCCACTGAGACAGGATGACCCACTTTCCCATTTCCCACTGAGGCAGGGTGACCCCCCCCCCAAAAAAAAAAAATCCATCATTCTGTAATTGTTTTACACAATTGTAGGATTACTGAATATTTTTCTTTTTGTTTCATAAACACAAAAGATAAAAGATATACATGTTTCTTCTTACTTTTACTTGCACTTACATCACACTACACAAGCATGTAGTACATGTACATGGTAGCTGAGCAGGAGATGCACAAATTAACATTAAGATCGACAACACTCTAGTTACCAGACATAATGAGGGCAAATTCCTAGGCCTATACCTTGACAGCAACCTGAATTTCAGCACCCATATCCAACACATAACCAAAAAAGTATCCAAAACGGTTGGGATCCTCTCCAAGATACGATACTACATGCCACAAAATGCCCTTCTCACACTATACCACTCACTTATTTATCCATACCTCACCTATGCTATTTGTGCTTGGGGATCAACTGCAGCAACACACCTAAAGCCAATAATAACCCAACAAAAAGCTGCAGTAAGAATAATCACTAAATCCCATCCCTGGCAACACACCCCCCCACTCTTCATAGATCTAAACTTACTCCCTGTTCAGTACATCCACACTTACTACTGTGCAATCTACATCTACAGGACCTTAAACTCCAATATCAACCTTGACCTAAAACTCTTTCTTGATAGTTGTGACAGAACCCACAGGCATAACACCAGACACAAACATCTCTACGACATTCCCCGTGTCCAACTAAACCTTTACAAAAATTCAATGTATGTCAAAGGCCCTAAAATCTGGAACACCCTACCTGAGAACTCTAGAACTGCAGACACATTCATCACCTTCAAAACTACCATTAGAAAACATCTTATCTCCCTGATACACCCCATCAACTAACTACACGAATACCATCTGGTGGTTCACACTTACACTCACTCACCCATTTGACCATAAACAGAAATATTAATCTCAATCTTAAAATAATGAATCCTATGATACTCCAATACTGAAACTATGTACTGTGCCAAAACAAAAGCATTCACATTGCTAAACTCACAAACTAGTATTTAGTCACTTAGCCATAATACCAACTTACCTCATAATTTGTAATATTTTAAAATAAAGAATTAAACTAAGTCTGCCCGAAATGCCTAGCCATGCTAGGCGTTCTAGTGGTACACTCTGTAATCATTATTTAACTACATGTAAACCACACAACAACCAAATTCTGTAAATTCAGCATTGTAATCTTTATAGAGAATAAACTTTGAATGTATATGTATACACACCCCTCTGAGTTTTCTCCTAGTTCCTTAATAGTTCTTGTTATTTATTTTCCTTTCTTCTTCATGGGGACTTGTAAAAGAATTCTTCCTTCATAAGCCATAAATGTCATAAAAGGTGACTAAAATGCCAAAATTACAAAAATTACAAAATATAAGAAGGCAGCGACTGAATGACGCTCTGCAGATGTGAAAATGCGCAAAGTTCTAAGTGATAAAAATAAATTGTAAAATAGAGAACATTGACTCTGAAGGACAGATTTATTACTGGTGGAATGTGAGAAATACAACATTTGAGAAGGGATTCAGGAAAACTGGTTAGCCAGATCTGAGTCCTGGAGACAGGAAGTACAGTGCCTGCACTCAAAAGGAGGGACTGGGTATTTGCAGGTTGGAGGGGCATCTGAACTGTGGTATTGGCAGGCCTCTGGAAAGACAGTGATAGAGTGAATGGTGACAGTGTGTGTATATTTTACAGTTTGTGTATATTTTAGGTGCCCCGGTGGCCTGGTGGCTAAACCTGGAGTTTACCTGGAGAGAGTTTCGGGGGTCAACGCCCCCGCGGCCCGGTCTGTGACCAGGCCTCCTGGTGGATCAGCGCCCGCTTCACACACGGAGGGCCTGGGTTCGATTCCCGGCGGGTGGAAACATTCCGACACGTTTCCTTACACCTGTTGTCCTGTTCACCTAGCAGCAAATAGGTACCTGGGTGTTAGTCGACTGGTGTGGGTCGCATCCTGGGGGACAAGATTAAGGACCCCAATGGAAATAAGTTAGACAGTCCTCGATGACACACTGACTTTCTTGGGTTATCCTGGGTGGCTAACCCTCCGGGGTTAAAAATCCGAACGAAATCTTATCTTATCTTATCTTATCTCACCCTACCTCAGTGAGAG